CTTGATCTAGTGTTCATGAAAAAAAAAAGATCACGAGAATTTCAACAGCAGATTTGAGCAGGATTGGAAGATATATCCAATGCAATTATTCAGGCTAAGTAGAAAAAAAAATGAATAAAAATAAAAAGCCTGATCAAAATCATGACAAAATACCACTTCATATGGATCAGAATGGCTACAATTAACAAGTCAGGAAATGACAGATATTGGCGAGGATGCAGAGAAAGAGGAAGCCTCTTACCCTGTTGGTGGGAATGCAAACTGGTACAGCCACTCTGGAAATGAGTATGGAGGTTACTCAAAAAGTTAAAAATACAGCTACCCTGTGACCCAGCAATTGCACCACTGGGTATTTATCCAAAGGGCACAAATATAGTGATTCAAAGGAGCACAGGCACCACAATGTTTAAAGCAACAATGTTCACAATAGCCAAAATATGGAAAGAGCCCACATGTCCATCAACAGATGAATGGATAAAAAAGTTATGGCATATACACACACACACACACACACACATATATATAATATATACACATTATATATACACATATTTACATTATATATCATATATATACATCATATACATCATATATATAATGAAATATTACTCAGCCATCAAAAAGAATGAAATTTTGCCATTTGCAATGACAGGGATGGAATGAGAGGTTATTGTGCTAAGTGAAATAAGTCAGAGAAAGACAAATACTGTATGATTTCACTTATATGTGGAACTTAGGAAACAAAATTTAGGGGGAGGGAAGGGAAAGGGAACATAGGGGAAGGGAAGGAAAAATAAAATAAGATGAAAACAGAGAGGGAGGCAAATCATAAAAGACTCTTAACTACAGGAAACAAACTGAGGGCTTCTGGAGGGGAGGAGGGTGGGAGAATGCAGTAATTGGGTGATGGGCATTAAAGGAGGGCACTTGATGTAATGAGGACTGAGTGTTATATGTAACTGATGAATCACTAAATTCCACCCCAAAAACTAGTAATATACTAGATGTTAACTAAATTGAATTCAAATGAAAAAAAAAATTAAAAGCCTAAGAGATTTCCAAAGACACAGTAGAGGCACTTCAAAATACGCATAAGAACTTCAGAAAGAGAAGAGAATGAAAAAACAGGCAGAAAGAATATCTGAAAAAATAATGGCCAAAAACTTCTCAAATGAAAAAAGACAGGAATTAGATATTAAATAACCAAACTGAATTACAAAAAGAATAAATGCAGACAGCACATCAATACATATTGCAATTGAATTGTAAAAAGGCAAAGATAAAGTGAAAAGTGTAAAGCACCAAGAGGAAAGCAATGCACTATGCGCAAGGGATCCACAGTAAGATTAAGAACCAAGTTCTTGGGGCACCCCCGGTGGCGCAGCGGTTTAGCGCCGCCTGCAGCCCGGGGTCTGATCCTGGAGACCCAGAATCGAGTCCCGCATCAGGCTCCCTGCATGGAGCCTGCTTCTCCCTCTGCCTGTGTCTCTGCCTCTCAGTCTCTCTCTCTCTCTCTCTGAATAAATAAATTTAAAAAAAAAAAAAAGAACCAAGTTCTTATCACAAAGCATGGAAGCCAAAAGCCTATGGAATGGCATTTTCAAAGTGCTGAAAGAAAACTAAGAGTTCTCTATCCAGGAAACCTATCCTTCAAAAATGAAGGAGAAACTATGAGATTACACATTTAAAAAAAAAAAAAAAACAGTGAACACGTTATTCACAAAGTAAAAACAAAAAGCAAAATTTGTAACTAGTAGGCTTGCCTTAAAAAGATTGCTAAGGGACAAATACATAAAACAAGAATTAAACGTTAATGGGTAAACAATGTATTACGATATAATTTGTGACAATAACATGAAGAAAAGGGGAACAAAATTGTATAGGAGCAGAGTTTTTATATACTATTGAAGTTTGTATCAATTCAAACTAGATTGTCATAAATTTAGGATTTTCATTTTAATTCCTAAGTAACACAAAAAAATATTTTAGATAAAATTTTTAAAATTAGAAGAGAATTAAAATGATATATTGCAAAAAATCAATTAAACTCAAAAAAGTAGCAATTGAGGAAATAAGCAAAAGTACAAGACATGCAGAAATAAAATAGCAAAATGAAATAATAAAATCATTCTTTATCTGTGACAACTGTAAATGTAAATGGATTAAATACTCCAAATGGTTTAAACCACACAGAGACTATCAGTGTGGTTAAAAAATTTTTAAAAAATTCCAACTCTATAGTCAATATAGTCACCTTAGACTCACATTGTATAAAGACACATATAGGTTAAAAGTAAAAGGATGAAGGAATCTTGTCTCACATTTAGATCTTTCATCCATTTTGAGTTTATCTTTGTGTATGGTGAAAGAGAGTGGTCTAGTTTCATTCTTCTGCATGTGGATGTCCAATTTTCCCAGCACCATTTATTGAAGAGACTGTCTTTCTTCCAATGGATACTCTTTCCTCCTTTATCGAATATTAGTTGACCATAAAGTTCAGGGTCCACTTCTGGGTTCTCTATTCTGTTCCATTGATCTATGTGTCTGTTTTTGTGCCAGTACCACACTGTCTTGATGACCACAGCTTTGTAGCACAACCTGAAATCTGGCATTGTGATGCCCCCAGCTATGGTTTTCTTTTTTTTTATTTATTTATTTATGATAGTCACACACACAGAGAGAGAGAGAGAGGCAGAGACATAGGCAGAGGGAGAAGCAGGCTCCATGCACCGGGAGCCCGACGTGGGATTCGATCCCGGGTCTTCAGGATCGCGCCCTGAGCCAAAGGCAGGCGCTAAACCGCTGCGCCACCCAGGGATCCCTATGGTTTTCTTTTTAAAAATTCCCCTGGCTATTCAGGGTCTTTTCTGATTCCACACAAATCTTAAAATAATTTGTTCTAACTCTCTTTTTGAACTCAGCCACAGTAACTTCTTGCAAGATACATCCAAACAAAAGAAACAAAAGCAAAAATGAACTATTGGGACTTCATCAAGATAAGAAGCTTTTGCACAGCAAAGGATACAGTCCACAAAACTCAAAGACAACCTACAGAATGGGAGAAGATATTTGCAAATGACGTATCAGATAAAGGGCTAGTTTCCAAGATCTATAAAGAACTTATTAAACTCAACAGCAAAGAAACAAACAATCCAATCATGAAATGGGCAAAAGACATGAAGAGAAATCTCACAGAGGAAGACATAGACATGGCCAACATGCACAGGAGAAAATGCTCTGCATCACTTGCCATCAGGGAAATACAAATCAAAACCACAATGAGATACCACCTCACACCAGTGAGAATGGCAAAGAAAAAAAAATTTTTTTTTTTTAATTTATGATAGTCAGACACAGAGAGAGAGGCAGAGACACAGGCAGAGGGAGAAGCAGGCCCCATGCACCAGGAGCCCGACGTGGGATTCGATCCCGGGTCTCCAGGATCGCACGCTGGGCCAAAGGCAGGCGCCAAACCGCTGCACCACCCAGGGATCCCCGAGAATGGGGAAAATTAACAAGGCAGGAAGCCACAAATGTTGGAGAGGATGTGGAGAAAAGGGAACCCTCTTACACTGTTGGTGGGAATGTGAAATGGTGCAGCCACTCTGGAAAACTGTGTGGAGGTTCCTCAAAGAGTTAAAAATAGACCTGCCCTATGACCCAGCAATTGCACTGTTGGGGATTTACCCCAAAGATTCAGATGCAATGAAACGCCGAGACACCTGCACCCCGATGTTTATAGCAGCAATGTCCACAATAGCCAAACTGTGGAAGGAGCCTCGGTGTCCATCGAAAGATGAATGGATAAAGAAGATGTGGTTTATGTATACAATGGAATATTCCTCAGCCATTAGAAACGACAAATACCCACCATTTGCTTCAACGTGGATGGAACTGGAGGGTATGATGCTGAGTGAAGTAAGTCAATCGGAGAAGGACAAACAGTGTATGTTATCATTCATTTGGGGAATATAAATAATAGTGAAAGGGAATATAAGGGAAGGGAGAAGAAATGTGTGGGAAATATCAGAAAGGGACACAGAACATAAAGACTTCTAACTCTGGGAAATGAACTAGGGGTGGTGGAAGGGGAGGAGGGCGGGGGGTGGGGGTGAATGGGTGACGGGCACGGAGGGGGACACTTGACGGGATGAGCACTGGGTGTTATTCTGTATGTTGGTAAATTGAACACCAATAAAAAATAAATTTATTATAAAAAAAAGATGAGAAAAAAAAGTAAAAGGATGAAAAATATGTTACATGCAAACAGGAACCAGAAGACAGCTGGAGTGGCTACATTAATATCAGATAAAATACTGTAAGTCAAGAATCACTACAAGAAACAAAAAAGGATATCCTATATTGGTAATAGATGAATTAATCAAGAAAGTATAATTACAGACATGTATGAAGCAATCAACAGAGCAAAATATATAAAGCAAAGATTGACAAATTTGAAGGGAGAAATAGGGTTTTACGATAATATCTTTAAATGTCAATAATACGTGTTCAATAATGAAGAGAATATCTGGACAGAAGATTGTTAAGGAAATAGAGAACTTGAACAATACTATAAACCAACTGGACCTGAAACATAAGTATACATATAGGTATAGACACAGATATATAATATTTAGATATATACAACATATTTATATTTATATAAATTATTATAAAAATATAATCATTTTATATATGTTACATGTTATATATAAAAATTCAATTATATAAACATACATATATATGTATACACACAAAATAATCTACCCTATAAAAGCAGAATACACATTCTCATGTGCACAGGGCATTTTCTCCTCCAAGATACATGTTATTCACAAAATAATCCTCAATAACTCTTTAAAAACTGAAATCATAAGAAAATCTTCTTGGTCCAAATGTAATAAAATTACAAATTATAAGAGAAAGAAACCTGCAAAGTTCACACATATGGAGATTGAACAAAGCATTTTATTAAGAACTTTACAACAGTTTTTTTTACTAAAAATACGGAATGTTTCACAAACTTGCATGTTATCTTTGTGTAGGGGCCATGCTAATCTTCTCCATATCGCTCCAATTTTAATGTATGTGCTGCTGAAGCAAGCACTCAACAACATATTACTTACTCAACTGATCAAAGAAAAATCAAAGAAGAAATCAGAAAATATTTAGAGAAAAATCAGAGCAAAAATAAAACATACCAAAATTTATGGGATGGAGCTAAAAAACAGAGCTCAAAGTGAATTTTTTTGCAGCAAATGCATAAAAAGATAAAAAATATTATAAAAAATATAAAAAGATAATAAAATAATAAATAAATTTTTAAAAGAGAATAAAAATATAAAAATCAATAATCTAACTACAGCATATGGATCTAGAAAGATAATAGAAAACTAAACCCCAAAATTAGCTGAGGAAAAAAAAGAGAAAGATTAGTGCAGAACAAAATAAAATAGAAAACAGAGAAAAATCAATGAAACCAAAAGTTGGTTATTTGTAAAGCAAAATAACCATAGTAACAGACCATTAATTAGACTGACAAAAAAAAGAAAGACAAAACAAAAATAACTAAAATCAGAAGCAAAAATGGGGACATTACTACCAATCTTACTAAAACAAAAAGGATTTTAAGAGCATATTATGAACACTATGAACAGTATACAAATTAGACAATTAAGATAAATGGACAAACTTGTAGATACATAGAAAGTACCAAAATGACTCAAGAAAAAAATAGAAAATCTGAACAAACTTAGAACAAGAGACATGATCAGTCTTCACAAACAAACATTTCTCTGAAAAAAGATATAAAATAGCCAGCAAACACATGAAAAGATGCTTAACACATCACTATTCATTTGGGAAATGTAAATACAAACCACAATAAAATACCACTTAGCATCTAGTAAGATGGCTTTAATTAAAAAAAAAATGTTTAAGGTAAAAAAAATAAAGGAAAAAAACAGAAAATAACTATTGTCAAGGACATAGAAAACTGAAAGCTTTATACATTCCTGGTGGTTTATGATTCAGCTGCTATAAAAAGTTTGGCAGTTCTTCAAAAAATTAAACACAGAATTAGTACAAAGTACATGTCCTCAAAATTAAAGCAGGTACTCAAAGAAAAACATGTACATGCATGTTCATATCCACACTATTCACAATAGCCAAAAGACAGAAACAACCCCTATGTCCATCAACGGGTGAATGGAATGTATATATAATGGATATTAATCAGCTTTAAAAAAGAATATACTACCAATACATGCTACAATGTGGATGATCCTCAAAAACATCTTGGCAATAAAGGAAGCCAGACACAAAAGGTCACATATTATATGATTCTGTTTATATTAAATATCCAAAATAGATAAATTTATACATACAGAAAGCAGAGTAGAAGCTTCTAGAGGATGGGGAGGGGCAGATGGGAAGTAAATACTTAATGCGTATGAGGTTTACTTTCGTGTGATGAAAACATCTTGAAACTAGACAAGAGTGGTGGTTGCACAATATTGCAAATGTACTGTCACTGAGATGTTTGTTTTAATATGGTCAAATTTATGTTATGTGAATTTCACCTGAGGGGAAAAAAAGCTTTTGGAAATTAAAAATTATTGCTCAAATATCTTACAAAATTACTTGCACATTTAACATTTGGTCCAACATCACAATTCTAAGTATCTATCCCCCAAAATACAGAAAGACAAGGCTATTTATTAAAGATTTGCTTGTAACAATAAAAGCGTAATACATATGCTTAGAAATTGAAAGGAAGTAAATATACACAATATTTGCTTACTTTTTCTAAAATCACTGAAGTAACAAAAAAGTAAGTTAAAAAATTTTAAACAAAAACAAATATATTCATATCCTTTCCACTACTTAGCCTCCATAATATTATGTTCTTATGTAAAATAGATACTATTTGGATATTTGGGCTGTTTCCAATCTTCTCACAATTATAAACAATGCTGAAATGAGTCCCTAAAAATCCAAAGTAGAACTATACACACAAACCCAACTATGTATCAAGTTCATGGACTAACCACTCAGGGAGAAACTATTTCAAGTAGGAAAAAAAGGGGAAAAAGTCCTCAAACTGTTTTCAATAATTATATTGTCAGTAGTAGAATTATTCACAGAACAAGAGAATCCCATCAACTGTTGCATCCCCAATAGTAGCCTCTATCATTTAAGGCCTCACCAAGCAGTTCTGGTTTTACAATATGAGGTAAGGCATGATATTATTTTGCATAAAGCATTCAGGAAAAGGAAATCAATCATTTCACATAAAGCTTGTTTAAACACTCCAGTTTCTCATCAATCCATACATTACTATAGTCTCACAGTCTAAAAGTAGCCACAGTTAGGACATCATTTACAAGTTTTGATACCAAAGTATATGCGACTCCTGCTAAGAAGTACCAGAAAGGGGTTGTTTAAACCCAGTCATCATTTTATCCATTTGTGTATATAAGGCCTTAGGTCCCCAGAGGAGAAGTGTTAGGAGCCAAGGGACCCAGACCCTACTTCAATCTTCATTTTGACTTATCTACCAGACCACTGTCCCAGGGGATTCCAGGTCATTTGCATCTTTGCCTTTCACCTTTTACATTCTTCCAAACTGGGATATATAGAGAGTGGCCTTATTTAGGGCCTTTTAAGGTCGTGGAACCAGCACTGACTCCCACTGGTACACTCAATGTTCAATAGTATTAGACTGGCAACTCTGCTTCAACCTCCCCAATGTTCGATACATTCATCCCATTTCTAATAAACATCCACCCTGAAAGGACAAGTCTCCAGGCTCTCCCCTTCTGTCTTCTCATCCTTTCTTATTAATGATTCTTCTTTGTTTTCAGAGTCTTTAATAGCTATAAGGGAAACCGAGACAGCAAGTACAACAAAGGTTCTTGAACAGCTGCTTGAATTTACAGCATGTTTACATGCAATGCCCATGTAAACAGGGCCCCCTTACTCCTAGCAGGTACCATGATCTGGGTAAGGGATATACATTCAGTAGATGATTATCCCAATCACCATAAAGAGAGTCCAGTAGGGCTTGCTGTAAGGTATACAGGCACTTCATCTGGGGTTTTCCAGTAGGCATTTATAGAGGAAAGACTTTCTCTCTTCTCATGTGAACAAACTTCACAGCAGCTTTTATCCAGTCTACCAGGATACCTGCTCCCTTGGGAATCATCCACTGTATATTGCAATTTGTGACTGTTACATAGTGAGCTGTGGGTTCTATATCACCCAAACATTCTCTTCCACTCTGTAGCATTCAAAACCAAAGATACTACCCCTAAATTAGTCCAACCCATTTCAGTAAAAATTCTTCAAGAAACTGATGATGAACAGATCCACAAAATGAGACAACCCCTTGGCACTATAACCACTGGTTTCAGAAGTTTCTTGGTTTTGCCCTCCCTCCAACAGGACTAATTTTCCAGTAACCAGGGGTCATAGCAATGCTGTCTGTTGTCCTAGGATAATTGTTCCCATTGCAGGTGGCTTCAAGACCACTGATTGTAGTTCAAACGGACTGAAATCTAAGCTTGGCTCAGCATCAGAATCAGCTCCAGAACTCTATATTACTTTCATTTTAGCCATTACATATAACAGTAATCAGGGAATTGTATGTTTAGTTTCTTTCTTACGTATGTATCTGTGAGCCATCTCATTGGGAGTTGAATCTATCATCATTTCTAAATTCCATTCCATAACTTTTGCCTTTACTGATGGATCACAGCACAGCTGCAGTTTCATATCATGAGTGAATATATATAGCCATTGAAAAATAAAAATTTCCTCACTCTTTTGCCCCTTCATCCTTTCTCTTCTCAAACTACATGTTTCAGTGAGTCAGGGTAATGACACAAACTCCAATGTCTTTTCATGCTAGCTAACCAGAGTTAAAACAAACTTCATAGGTTAAAAGTATAGTCTTCCAAAGACTGACCTTAATTCAGACACTGCCAGCTAAAACTCACGGGTTCCCCAGCCCTAGAATAATCGGCTGACTACAAATCCAGAGGTTCCCAGTACTCCCTCAGGTTCAATGATTCACTAGAACAACTCACATAATTCAGGAAGGCAATATAGTTTACAATTACAGTTTTATTACAGCAAAAGTGTATAAATCATGCCCAGCCAAAAGAAGAGACACATAGAGCAAACTCTGGGATGATCCCAAATGCAAAGCTTCTGTAGTTCTCTCTCTGTGGAGTCAAAACAGGTCATTTCCTTGGTATAGTGATGATTAACAATATGCAGAATATTGGTAGCCAGGGATGCTCATCTGTGATTCAGTGTCCAAAGTTTTTATTGGAGTTTCATTAGAGAGATACAATTGACCAAATTACTGGCCATATACTAAAGTCAATCTCCAGCCCACTTTCTCTGCTCCTCAGAGGTCAGACTAATATCACATGGCTAAATGGCCTAACCCTATAATCACTGGTGTGGTTTTTCTTGTATTGTTTACCCCCATCCTGAGTCACCTCATTAGCATTAACTATCAAGGCCATCATGAACAAAACACTCCTACCACTTGTGAAATTCCAAAGGTGTACCGGTCCCCATGCACAAACTGTATACAAAAGCCAGCTGAATTCTTTGTTATACAACACAAGACTTACTTACTGTAAAACAAAACAACACAATAATACAGCATGTTATTGGCTAAAGAATAGACACATAGATCAACAGAACAAAACTCAGAAGTAGACCCACACAAATATACTCAACTGATTCCGACAAAGAGGGAGGGACAATTCAACATAGAAAACAGTCTTTTCAACAAACTGTGCTGCAACTCTTAAAGATTCTAAATTATATGAAAGAAAATTAACCCAAACACAAGTATTAAACAGAAACTAACTCAAAATGGACCACAGACAAAAATGTAAAGTACAACACTATAAAACTTCTTAAAGTAGAAAACCTACATGACCTTGGTTGGGTTTAATAATGATTTTTAATTACAATACCAATAGCATTATCTTTGAAAGAAAACACTGGTAAGCTAGAATTTATTAAAACTTCCGCTCTGTGAAAGACACTTTTTTTTTTTTCTGTGAAAGACACTTTTAAGAGAAT